AGTTGTGTATTTAAATAATCTAACTAGGAAAGGTCACGATCAAGCCGGCTAATTTGGTGTGAGTTTCTATGGATATTCTGCCTCAAACTTCCATCTAGATACGATGAGCTCAAATCTGTTTTCAGTCTGCTAAACTCCTCTTTGAAAGGAGTTATGAGGGGTTTCTGCCGCCCTTGATGTTTTGCATCTTGCCTGCAGTCACATGTAAGCCCCCTTATAAACGCCCCGAAGAAGCTCTGCAAACTGCTCCAGTGGCATAGCTGATAACAGCGTCGCTTCTGAAGGGTGAGTTTGCCAGTTCAATTCCCTGCAGAATACAGGACGGAGGCATAAAATAGTCGCTCCCCTCCGCATGAAAAGCGGAATTAGTTACGCTTTGCCAAATCCCAACCGAATGAGCCCACCTGAAAATTGTAGAACACATGCGAATCCATCAAAAACTATTGCAAAACCTGAAAAAAAAACAAAAAAGCACAACAATGAAATAAACAAAAACAAACACAACAACAAAAACTAATACGTAACGGCCGGTGCTATACAAGTAGGGTGGGCGCATTTTTTGAACAGAAATGTATGTAAGTGGGACTGCTGCCCGCTACTATACTGTCACGAGAATCGGGGAATTCGTGAGCCAGGGGGAGTGTAGCCAATCTAGGGGGTGGGGGGGGGTGAGGGCAGTCACTTGACATGCGTGAAAAGCTGGGCGTGCCCACCCCACTTGTATAGAGCCTAACAGCCTTCTACACCGACGACATCAGAAGATTTTCCCACGGAAACATGGTGCACGGTACGAGCTCAACGAGGTCGTCGATAGACCATATTACGACGTCTCTGAAACGCTGGTCAAAAGCGGTCTTGCATAGTCACAGCTAGTGTCTCTGGAAGCTATTCACCAGTTAACCGATTGAAGAAATTATGTAGCAGCTTCAGGCTGGAGCGATTAAGGCCTCCTTGAGCTCGGGTGATGGTAGATGATGCCGTTCTGGAGACGGACGTTCATTCTGGAGACGGTATGGGCAGTGAAGAAGGGCTTGCTTCTGCTTATGGGGGACATCTAAGGAATATTTTGCCTAAAACTTTCATCAACAGCGGCACCCTGTATGGCGAAAAGTTTGATGTGCCCCATGGGCAAAGTGACTTTTTTTTGCCCCCCCCCCCACCTGTATACAGCTTTGCTTACTTTTTCAACATAGCTGATGAGCTTTTGAATTCATCACTTCACCAGTGGCTGCCTGTAGCCAAATCCATGAAGAATTTGCGCCCAGATTATTTTAATTTTAAGAACTTTCCTATGAGTGTGTATGGTGCACGCAATGCAGGTTTAAGACTTTCCCGTGGGAAGCAAGTGCAGTAATCGTATTCAGAGTGTCAAACCCCCTCTGAAGGCGGGTTCAGGCCGAAGCTGTGTCTTTATCCTAAAAAAAAAGTGCAGCAGGGTTACCCACTCCCTAGGCAGCAACTCTCAAGTTGACCGACTATGGACGACGTGGAGCGGTGGGGAGGGAGGGGTTGTACTTTAAAGTAATGTCCTTGAATTCTAGGATGGTGCAGATTAGCAAGCCAAACAGTGCTTTCGTTTTCTCGCAGGTGTCGTTAGAGGGGAAATTCCATCCCAACACCAACCTCTGGTGAAGAGTTGTTGATGGACAACTTTTCGAGGTTCAGCCAAGAATTCAGAAATTGGTAGAGCTATGTCCAGCGGAGAGTTCAACTCTCTGATTATGAATATCACACTTTTTCGGAGCAAAAATACCTGGGGTTTGCGCCACGATGTCGGTCTGCCTAGAGCGAGCATCGCGCGATGCAATCGCTCTGCCAAAAGTGCAAGCGGCGGGCAATGGCCCGCCGCGATCGATACCGATGTCGACTGCATCGATGTGGGCGGGGCCAATCGCCCGTCGCTTGTGCACATTGCAAGAGCGACTGCATCGCGCGATGCAATCGCAGAGTCTGACCGACATCTACAGCCGCGTAGTGCGGTCAGGACCGAATATCACCTAATTTCGTTACTGAGTGCTCGCAAATTTTTTACACAGGTAACATTTGCAAGCTAACATTTAAACAACAAATATAAACATTAACGCAAGTATATTGAACTAGCGATATCAGGCGTCTTCCATCCTGTTTCTGAAATCGGCAAAAGCGCACGCTCGCCGAAGAGTCGACCACTTGCCTATGAGTCCAGACCGCTGCCACGCTTTTTCGCTTTACAATCTCTTCCACAGAAGAGATTACCAGTCAACGAAAGCAGATTTCAACAGCTTTTCAAGGCATAGTTGTCACTTTGATTGGCCGAGCTGACCTAATAACCTTTCCTGGTTAGTATTCAATATATCACTAGTTCCTTTCGTGCACTCGAAGCTTTTGCTCAACTCATGCTCAACCTCTCAACGTTAGGAGCTTCCCAAATTTTGACAGGCCATTTTGGAAGTAATCATTTCTTACAGCTCGTATTCGATTTGCGAGAGATTATACCGTAAAGCAATCTCCGACTTGAGCTTAACCTTATACGTGGGATGAGAAAAAAGCCTTTCCCTTGTTACTCGCGCCTGGTCAAAAGCAGTAGAGTTTCTGAAATATTGACTACTTTCGTATCTAACTCCACTTGCTCCACTCTCTATTCAATTACTACTCACTATGTTTTTATAAAAACAAACTCAACATATAAAACGGCAAAGTAGCACTTTATATTAATGATCGAAACACCTGGAATGTCGGAGCTCAAATTGGTTAGTCTATTAATGTTACCTCATTTACTCATAATCTTTCATATAAATATTTACACTGGGACGGCTAATCGACAAACAATAAACGTCAACCACACATCAAACAAAACAACTCAGAATCATTGTATACTAATGAAATGCTGAACAACCAGTAAACAGTTGCTTGTAAGGTAATTAATACGGACGCCCACGTCCCCTTCCTCGCCCTCTTGAACCGCCTCTTATAGGTCCGCCACCATTTCCTGCCATCTCTGCCCTCTCTGCTGTCCCTGCCCCTATCGTAGTCCTGGTTGTTGCTTCCATAATATCCATCACCTGCAAGAAAATTTTTTTCTTTGTCATTTTTAACGGGACCATTACAAACTCACCTTGCTGTCTGGGCGGACCTTGTTGTTGTCTCCAGGTGTCATATGAATTTTCGCCCGATTCTTCGTACTGTGGAGGAGGAGCAGCTGCTTGTGTTGGAGGGCCACCCCACTGTCGACCAACATTTGGTGGTGGTCCCGGTGGAGGTGCCTGTTGGCTGTGGGGTTGGTGAGACACAGAATGATGAGGCGGTAGGCTGTGCGGCACTGCACCAGGTCCACTATGTGTCGGGGGCATAGGTAAAGAATCCTGAAATGAAGCCGCCACACTGTATTTCAGTAAATATCAAGCGAATTAGCAGTTCTACCTGGAATAACCTTTTAAAAACCCTTGAAGTTTATCGCCAAAT